TTTTAACCTCAATAAAACTGCACGCTTCCTGATAAAGCATTCTGCTGGATAGTTTTAGGTTAACTTGACACACAATATAGTCACGTGAGAAGAGGGAACCTCAATTGAGAATACGCCTCTATAAGATCTGACTGTGGGCAGGCCTGTAGAGCATTTTCTTAATTAGTGATTAATGGAACAGTGCCCAGCCCAGTGTGGGTAGTACCATCCCTGGGCTGGTGGTCCTGGGTTCTATACAGAAGCAGGCTGAGCAAGCCATGTACAGCAAGCCAGTAAGAAGCACCCCCTCCACGGCCTCTGCAAAAGCTTTTACCTCTAGGTTCCTTCATGTGGAAGCATAAGCCAAATAAACCCTTTCCTCCTCAAGTTGCTTTTGGTCATGTTTCATCACAGCAATAGCAACCCTAAGATAAGCATCAAAAATGTCCTTATATTTTAATCCATGAATACTTGACATGTTTGTCATTTACCTTTAATATTTCCTTCTGAACATACTGTTCCACCATGACCATGGGTACTTTATCTTTGCCAACCATGAAACCCTGGGGTGAGGACACAGGTATCTAGGAGGCACTAAGAGAATTATTCTCTAGATTTCAAAGTTTATTTCCACTTACTAGGTATTGTTTGGGACAGGGATCATGTTTTTTGGAAATCAGTTCTCTTCATAAAAGAATAGTTGAATTTAGGTTAGGTGTGTAGCCCTGTAATCCTAGCTACTCAGAATGTTGAGGCAGGATTCAGGGGAGACTGAACTGTATAGGGAGACTCTGTTTCAAAATAAGAAGAAAGTAAAAGACTGAAAACATACTGGTAAAGGGCTTGCTGAGCTAATAAAGTCATGAACTTTATCCTCTATACCAGACAAACCTCCCCGCCTCGCCACAAACAACGGTATTGAGTGAATGCAGGAATGAATGAACGCACCTATCTGCACCCCTGTTGGCTGCTTAATCGTCATTCCTCTGCCTCACTTCTCTTATTTATATCATCTCTTCTTTGTCTCAGATTGGCTTTTCAATCTACCTTCTCTTTTCATTTTGTTTTGTTTGCTTTTCTGTTTGTTTGTTTCGTAGCATTGGAAATTGATAACCAGACCTTGTACGTGGACAGCAAGAACTCTGGTACCTAGCTTTACTGAAGCTGTTCTGTTCTCCTGTTGAACTCCAACTAGCCTAAGCTTCTTAGCTTGGCTCTATGTTGTTTATCACATTTTCCTGGCTCACTGTGGCATAAATTTAGGTCAAGCAAAAATGACTGTGTATTATTCCACAAGCATATCTTGCTCCTCTGCTTCCCACTATGTGCCTTAAAACCTCAGACCCAATGGAGGATGCACAGCTGCTGGATGTACCACCTCTTTTGCTTTTCTCATGGCCCTGATCACATTATACCAGGCAGTATCTTCATAATCAAGCATTTCTCTTTTCCATATCGTTTCATAAACACCTTAAGTACTGGATCCACATCTTCCCTTTATTTCTTTCTTCCACTAATAGCAAGGCTGCTCAGGGAACACCTGTTGCATGGGAGCAACATGGCATAGTGAGTGACTGTGCATCAGCCTTTGAAAACAGGAAAGCTAGGAATTATTATTCCTGCCATCTGCTTGCTGTGCCAACTACAGGAAAATCACCTAACCTCTTAGAGCCTTGTTTTCTTCATTAGTAAAATGGAGACAGCAATAGTGTATATAGAGTTGAGTATCATTCAGAAAGAAAGAATACTTATGGAACATTTGGCACATAGATTAGCAGAGAGTCAGCACCCATTAGATAGTTGCTATTGTTATTAACAGATTTTGAAAAAAATCAACGAATGAAAATTATGTCCAGGAGGGCAAGAAAGATTAGCACTCTCACAGATAAATAGAAACTGTGCCTAATACATTGTGTTGGTGGATTGAAATCACACACACACACACACACACACACACACACACACACACACATGCATGCACATAGGAATATAGCCACACCATGCACCTTGTTATATATCCATATTAAAAAAAAAATTGTATCTACAATATCATAGCAGAAACTATAACAGAGCTGTCAATGAGTCTGAATCTATTTTTTGTTTCTGAAAATTAACTAGGAAGATGTGGTATATACACATTTCTATGTGTATATTAATGATTGTAGTTTCTGTACATTTGGAAAAATAACATTAAGGACAGGACTTCTGTTTACCAACCTCCAAAACTGATTCTAGCTAATTAAATCAGAAAGGAATTTATTGGCAAGATCATGGAAAGGCCAGGGTTGGGTTGTAGTTCATGGAGTCTTCAGGAAAGCTCTCCAATTTTCAGGTTCATAAATTGTGGTGAACACAGATACAGTTAAAAAAAAAAAGATCAAATTGCTAAGATCACCCACCCATACCCATGGGCTTTGTGTCCCCAAGGCCACCCACTGTCACATTAATGGGCTCTGTTTTCCCTAACACTGGGCTGCTGCAGCCTCCGGGTTTTCCATTCCAGTGTGATCACAGAGAATAATTTCTGAATGTCTGTATGTACTGTTCATTCTTCCTTATCCTGTCTACTGAACCAGACATGATCACACTGGGTTCCTTCATCTGCTCTGATGAAGAGAGAGGAATAGCCTGACCTTTTAGGTCTGCAGTGAGGAGGTAGGTTCTGTCTCCCATTTGTCTTGGGCTTAGTCATCCATTTGCAGTGTTCAGATGATGGGCAACTCTTCTCACTGTCCACTAAAACTCTTAGAAACAAATAGAGATGAGGAACAGAAACAAAAGACTCAGAAATGGTCCCTTGGAGCTGAGGTGTAGTTCAGCAGCAGAATGCTTTCCTAGCATGTGTGAGTCCCTCTGCTCCATCCCCAGCACTGGAGTAGGGATGCCTTTGAAGATTATCCCCTGTGCAGCTGAGAGATATCGTCTTCTATAGATGTTTCACACTCCAAATACATATGAAATAGCAGAAAAAGAACCTCCATTCTTTTGCATAGATGGAAATTTAAAGAAAACCCTTCTTTCTCAACAACGTTTATCATGGCTAGAAAATTAACTGCCTGGCATACTGACATTTATAAAAAGCACGGTGATGTGCTGAAAACAGTTTCTGTTGCCAGATACCTATTGGCAGGCTTAGAAACAGGTCCCCCGGAGCCTGATGGGCAGAGGCAAAGCCTCCCTTTTGAAAGGAGCAGCAGATGGTAGTCTTTGCCATCCCTGACAGGGGAAAGCAGGAGGAAGCCGTGGGGCTCCATCTGGGAAAGTGCCTGTCTTCTGAGGCCAAGCAGTCAATGTGTTTGCAGTCTTTACACTTTCTGTGGTGCTCTTTCAGAAGGGCACATTGTAGAAGGCTGGCGAAGCAGTCCAGGAAGAAGCACACTGTTTCATGTGGCTTCAGAGCAGATAGGGCAACCCTGAGAACCCCCAGGCAAAAGATGGCAAGACGGAGCAGTAAGAACCTCCTGCAAAAGCCACTAACGGTTTCTTAGGAAGATGAAGAGGTGAGTGGCTGTCAAACTGACACTTGAAAATGGTGGCGATTCAAGACTTTATCCCCCTTTGAATCTGCTCCACGCCAACTAAGCCAGACAATGCATTCACGACTATTTCCATGCCTCTTCCTCGGGGACAAGTCATATCCCCTTGAAAACTATTCCCATGTTTAAGGTCCATTTCCCATTTGCTTGTTGAGCTTCTGCTTTCAAAACATTCAGCCAAATCCCTTTCCTTCAAGGCTTTGAACTTGTCATTTATCCTTAACCCTTGGAAGTAAATTCTGTGACTGGTCCAAGGTAAACAGGGCTTTCCTGGTAGAGCAAAAAGAAAAGTAATTCTTATTAAAAGATTGAAGCAAAGCTGAACAAATTTACATGCCTGTCATAAAACACCAATGGCTGTTTGAAGTAGTGGTTCTGTGGAGGAAAAAAAATCACAATTTGGTTATCAACTTATTGATGAAAAATAAATGATCATATGTAGCATAATATGATGGTTTGGGCATCAGCAGCTGGGTGGCTACACCTCTCAAGAGAAATTTTTTCTTAAGGTTTATGATATAGTTACATTTTAATAAAATACCTTAGAGTTCATTTTATTTCCTTGGTTTAAGTTTTCATCAGTATTAGTAAAATAAATTATTATTATTATTATAAATCATTTAATAAAATAAATTATTATGTCTGAATCTACCTGACATAAAAACAATTATAAATGGTTCTTTGTATTGTCCTCAGTTTTCCAAAATTGCTGACAATTTTGTCTTTAAGCATTTTAAGGGCAAGATTTATGAAATGTTTCCGGGTTTGGTCCCAAAGCTCATAACAGGGTATTATTCAGCAACAGGTGCTTAACCCCCACACATCCTTTACCTTTGTTCCTTTTCTACTAAATGTGACGTGGTGGGTTGGCCTTACCTGTTAGTCACACCGTCACATGTCTCAGGGAGTCACGGACCAAACGCTTTGCCCTTTGTTTCAAAATCTATTACAAAGTTTTGTTCCAAATGATGTCAGTGAAGGCACTTATTAAAGTGCCACTGGGAGCTGAATTGCATTTGTGTTGCTAAAAATCCTTTAATGGATGAACAACTTGGAAAAAAAGAACTCTCACCACCCACGCACATCACGCTAAAACAGGGTAGCGTTTTTGCACTTGCTTTCCTGCTTAGCCTGAGAAAGATTGCTGATGTCCATCTTTCCCTCCCTTAGCATTTCAGCTTCGTCCTGGCCAGCTGCTGAATCGTTAAGCAGAATGCCGCCCTGTCTTTGTAGTTCCAAAACCATGTGTCTCTATTGCCAACTGCACATCTTTATGGCAGCCACATGCTTGCAAAAGAATTAAACTCAAAATATTCATTTAGCCTCTTACTATTGTACAAATACAAAAACAAAATGGGGAGAGGGGAAAAGAAAACTTCCGTGTTCTATGCTGTTGTTCTCATCGTAAGATGCTCCATGGAAAGGAGCCGAGCAGTGAGTGGGCAGAGGCTGTGAGTCCCCGATAACGAGCGCCTAACATTTCCGTGGTATTCCCATTTGCTAGTGTGCTGTTGCGGCCACACGCCTGATTGATATATGCCTGCAATGGCACTTTTCCATTTGACACTCTCCCTCTCTCTCTCCCTCTCCCTCTCTCTCTCCCTCTCTCTCTCCCTCTCTCTCTCTCCCTCTCTCTCCCTGGGTCGCTTAAACAACAGTCCTAACTTTTGTGTGTTGCAAATATAAAAGGCAAGCCATGTGACAGAGGGACAGAAGAACAAAAGCATTTGGAAGTAACAGGACCTCTTTCTAGCTCTCAGAAAAGTCTGAGAAGAAAGGAGCCCTGCGTTTCCCCCAAGGTAAGCAGGAAAACAAGCGCTGCCGGCTTGCCTAGGAAGTTACTTCTTTCCAAACTCAGCCTTTCATCCTTCTTGCAGACAAAGAGACAACCTTTAAATGCCACTTAAATTTGCATCACTTTAATTTGCATTAATCTGTAGCATGTTAGCTTTGTGGGTTTTTTGTTTGTTTGTTTGTTTTAAATGAACGGGTGTTTGGAGTCTGTGACAGAGCAGGAAGCGTCCCAGAGAAGCTCGAAAATATCTTTGAGATTGATTTCTTTTCAAACTCTGCGTAGTTAGATGTAACTTTGAAATGATTCTTCTATGTGACAACATGAAGGGGGATAGAGAACAGCAGTTGCTGACTTGAATTTGTGGAGTCCCGTATCTTCCCCACCGCCTTCATCCCACTTACAATGGGGGCACTATTAACGCAGGCGAGTCTGCGAGGTTAAACGTGCACTGTTTACTTTTATTACTCCTTATGTATGCGGCTGATCTCCTGCCAGGGCTGTGCCGGAGTGCTCAGAATGACTTCAAACAATAGGCAACATTTATGCCTAGCTTTCAGTGTCACACTGCTCCTTTGCACTCTTCTCCCATCCCGCGTTGGGATTTTGCTTCCATGGATACATTCAAAAGTATCGGGAGAGATGAGGATGGGTTTGCTGTACGATTTTGATTGGGCAAAAAGTCTGAGGAAATGCATGCTGTTTGCCTTGGCCTTATTGCAAGGGGTTATTTTTAGTAGTCGGTTTGTCCCTGCAGCATGACCAACGATCCAATGTGTCCAAGAAGTGACCAAGAAAGGATGCTCCTGACAGCACAGGGACCAGGACCTGGAGGAATGACTCCCACAGACACCTGAGGAATATTCAGAGGGTTCTTTCCAATTCCTGAATGCAAGTTCTCTCATTAAATGAACAATTGAGCTGTAGGAGGCCCGGGCATAACTCTCTTGAGGGACGGGAAGTTTGATTGTGTACAGAATGTTAATGACTCAGAAAGCACAGTAACTGAGGCTCATTGTAATGGACAAGCCCAGATAAGCCTCTGTGAAAGAGCACCCCCTCCTCCCTCCCTTTCTCTCTCTCTCTCTCTCTCTCTCTCTCTCTCTCTCTCTCTCTCTCTCTCTCTCTCTCTCTCTCTCTCTCTCTCTCTCTCTCTCTCGCTCCTCCCCTGCCCCACCCGCTGAGATTCAGGTGGGAAGAGCAATCATTTGGCAAGATGAGAATTCCTTATACTTTGTAACTGTCATTCCTAGCAGATATGGTTGTTGCAAAGCATGCTTCTCTACATTTCTAATATTAGTGTGTTTTAATTAAGAAATACAACATGACAAATTGCTTCAACACAACATTAGCTACCAGGTACATGTGGAAACACAGAGATGCTGCAAATGTACTGTTGACTGTGGGTGTCAGCTAACTACATCAGGACCTGTAGACTGTCTCAAAATGGCATTTAGACTTCATGCAAATATCTGCTCACTTTCTTTTCATTAATTTTACTCCTGAAAGTGAACTTCAGGGTTCTGTTGGCCAGCTTTCATTGTGGAACAGGGGACACAATTTATGGAGATTTTTCACAAATAACTAGCCTAAGGAGCATTGTTGAATAAAAATAAGACATTTAAAGAAGTGAATTCACAATTGGTTCACTAATCAAGAAAGGCTGTAAAAAAATAATATGGATTGGATTGCTGTAATATTTTATGACAATTTAAAAAAAAACTACTGCTGTTAGCAAAGCATTTAAGTGGCTGAAAACAATTTTCTTAAACCGTTATTCAGACCATTATATGAGAGTTTTTTAACACAAATACAATGCTGTGCATCATTTCTTTTAAAATACACTTGGTTCAGGTAATGGGAGAACTGGCTGAGGCCTTCTTATTATCACTGTGTATCAAGCAGCTGACACTCACAGATGGAAATATGCCCGTGGAGTTCTCAGTCTTAATTTGAGTCCCAGTGATACTGTCAAGGGAAAAATAAATCATTTTTCAATACATTTAACAATTTCCAACTCATTTATTTTCCTGGGCCCTTGAAAAATGACTTTCTCAGAATTATAACCATCAATGGTGGCCAGAGACTGTTGTTGTCTTGAGAACTCACAATTTCAGTACCATTGTTCTTCCTGGGTAATAATTCATTCCATCATCTTTTTAATACATATTTATTAAGCATTTGCACTGTCCTTATCCTGATGGATACAAAGGTGAATGGGACATTGTCTCACACTTTTATTTTTGATCTGTATGTTCTTCTCCCAATGGGTAATTGGACAAGAACTTTCTGCTTCTTAGGAATCATGTCAAATAGCTGCTAGTGTTCTTGATTACTTGACATACTTATCAACAAGTTTTCTATTTCTAATCAAGGCTTCTCCTCCCTTTTGGCTGTTTGCACCAGATCCTGAGTGTATCACACTTGCACAGCTAATACGGTCTGGATTTTTCTCAGGGTGGGGATAGAAGCAGTCTAGAAAAAGAGTACCATAGCCTTCCTCAGTTCTCCTGAGTATCCTCAGGAAGGGAACTGTAAGCTACTTCTATCAGGAGATGGCTGTGAGTCACCTCCCCAGCAGCTGACAGCAGGGCTACTTGATGAATCACTGTATTGGAAACATGCACAGAGGAAGATGCGATCACTCACTCCCATCAGTTACTTGTCCCATTCCCTAGACTGAGGAAATGAGTGAGTGACCACTGGGCTTGGCCAAAATTTAAGAGGGCCCTGGGATAAGTTGTTCCCCAAACCTAGGTCTCTGTCTGAGCCACACACAGTGTTGCTTTCAAATAAGCTAGTCTAGTGTTTCATCACATGTTAGGTTCCTGGGGGTGGGGGGTGGAATCCTGAAGACAGCATCTACAGTGTCCTTGATTTTGGTGCTTATTAGCCGAAAATGTATGGTGGTTGGATGACCTCTGACCCTCTGCCGTGCCTGACTCATCCCAGGAAAGCTACATATTCTTGGCCATTGGCCTTTGTGCCCATGTTCATCTTTTTTCCCCCGACTGTCACTTAATAACACTCTCCTGCCCGGCCAGCAGGAACAGAGGGCATGGAGAGGCAGGTGGAAGGACTAAGAAGTGTGAACACTGAACAATGAGAGGGAAGAAGGGTCATGGGAGGGTGGGTGAGCTCCGGGCCCCAAAATTGCTGTGGTCTGCCCTGGCTGTCATCAGCTGTCATTTCCTCTTCGTGTATGACACTGTAGGGCATATTAAAATTTCTCTGGGATGGTATGTTTGGAATTCCTCTGATGCCCCACCTCACCAACTTACCCGGACAATAAAAGCAAGGTTGTAAGCCATTGAACAGCTGGCTGGCTATATATTTCCCCTCTTTCTTTCCCATAATCTAATACAGAAAAGAATCCTGTTAGACTGGCAGTGCCATGTCTGGGTACTTGTTTCCTGCAAGTACTTCCTCCACCACCTCCTCCTGTACACCATGGAATCTTCCTGGGTGGCAAGTGGCTTCTTTTCTTTTGTTCACCGCTGCTCTCAGCCTGCCCCCTTTCCCTATGCCTGATCTTCCATTGTGAGCTGCTGTTTGCTCCGTCTGTTTTCCAGACAGCCTGGGTCCTGTTCCATCTGGGGAGAACAGCCCATGAGGTCTCCTCATCTCCATAGTATTCCCAGGATGTCATTCTTGGCACAGGTTCTGCTGGGCCGATAGGATATGGGGGCTTTTTGTAGCCCTGAGCCTGAACCCACTCACAGAGAGGAGCAGCCACGTGGCTCGCCAAGAGTGGGGCTGGAGTGACCCGGGTTGGCAGAGACAAGCATACCATCACAGTGACCCGGACATCTCTGGCGAAGGCCTGGGGGTGGGAGTGCTATGGGAATGCCTGGATGCACTTCGGCCCACATTAAGAGAAATGTGGTTATTCTGTTTCAGACTGAGAGACAAGTGACTTGGAACAAAGATCCCTAGATCTTTTGGGCCCTGCCCTGCTTCCGGGTTCCTCAAGTTTCTCTCCTGTCTCCCCTCCCCAGACAGAAAGAAGGAGAAACAGGACTTTCAATTTGGCCAGCATAGGCTTGATGCCTCGTTAAACCCATTGCTGAAAGGGAGAACTGAGAAATCCCTCCTGAGTTGAGTGCACTGAAAATGTGTGGGGCTTGAGGTGAGAAAGGAGCTCTTCCTTCTTTCCTTCCTTCTTTCCTTTCTTCCTTCCTTCCTCGCTCCCTTTTTTCACTTTCTCTCACAACCCCCCCCCCCCTCCTTTCTCTTTACCTCAGAAGAGCAGTTTGATTCATGAGTTTCAAGTGTAAGGAATTGGACTTTTCAGTTAGAGATTCCCATTTAAGACCTTCATTGTGCAACATACCAAAAAGATGCTGCTAATGTACGTGGGAGCAAGAGGTATTAAAGAGAACCACAAGGCAGTTTCCTATTCTTTTTTATTCCCTGGAAGCTTCATGTATCTTTTCCCAATTAACTAAAAATTCATTAAAAGACTCAAAAGGAAAAAAAAAAACTAACATAGCTGAATTAAAATGAGCTGTTTCCTGTTAGCTTGACAAGGAGAGAGAAAGACAGAGAGAGACAGAGAGAGACAGAGACAGAGACAGAGAGACAGAGACAGAGAGAGAACCAGAGACCCATCTACCCTTCACTGTCAGTTCTTGGGTTTTAATATGAATTATTCCATACAAGTCCCTAGGCTGGAGGATCTATTTAAAGAAGCCTGGCAGCATGAAGAGAGAGGGTAAAAATACAAGCACTCTTTTGTCCCATCAAAGGTTTTCTTTGGGAGGACATTAAGAGCATTTCTGTTTTCCTGTCTGCCCCTGCCAGTGGCAGCATTCCAGCTGGTAGTACCCACTCCTCACCCATCAGGTCAACAAGCAGGAACTTTTCTGATTCCAGGAGAAAGCAAAGTCTGTGGAATTCTTTAGCAACTCCCATGTGTGGGCAACATGCAGGAGAAGCTGGGACTAGACTGAGTACATGCTGTCGAGGCTGTACAGATTGTCTGGTGAAAATCTTCCCCCTCCACAC